CTGCTCGTTGTTAACAGACAGAAGACATTTTACATTCTGACTCTTTAGTTCAGAAAGTTTGATTTTGTAAATGTTATTTTTCCTCTTACCATTAAACAGGATAGTCCCATCTTTCTGACTAACAGCTTTACATGATTTTTGATTAAAGATTATATCATAACCGTTATCACTTAATTGACTTATGGATAACAGATTATGCATCAATCCATCTACTAGCAGAACATTATTAATAGAGGGAAGATTTCCATTACCTACAGTTCCAGAGCCAATTATCTTTCCCCTCTGATTGCCTCCAAAGCCAACGTGGCCTCCTGGCTTAAGTTCCAGGCTTTGGAACATATGCCTTCTTCCCGTCATGTGTCGTGAGCAGCCAGAGTCCAGGTACCATGACTGGTGTTTCTGACTTGCTGCTAAAGATATCTGCAACATGTATTATTTTATCCTTAGGTACCCAGATTTTCTTGGGTCCTGATTTGTTAGTTTTACCAAAACTCTGGTTGAATTTTGGTTTCACAGAGTGCTTACTGCTAGTGTATTTAATATCAAGTGTGTGACCATACACAAAGTGTGAATTCAGAGGAGTGTGTTTAATGGTTAAGTCCATGACATTCTTTGGTGTAGGAACCTTACCTTGGTATCCTATTCCTTTCCTGCCGTTTCTGCTAACTCCATAGATCATTGAAGCCATTTTGCTTCTATCTATGCTTTTAGCGAGGAACTTCTGGAAACTATGATCATACTCCTTGATGATCTCATCAGCGTTGCTGGGAGTTTCAGAAATTAGTTCCTTCTGAGAGTTTTGTAAAGTGTTTTCTAATTTTGAAATCTTATTTCTCAGCTCAGAATTCTCCAATTTGAGACTCTCAGTCTTATTAGAGTCAGATTCAAGATTCCTTTTCAGGTCTCTGAATTTAACTCTAATTTGCTGATACCGTTCCAGAATCTCATTAAGGCTTTCAGCAAGTTCATCCTTTGTAAAGTTAACAGCAAAGTTAGGAAATACCTCTTCAGTATCTGATTCTGAGTCTGATTCAGAAGCTTCACTATCTTCTGAGATGTTAGCCATGAGAGCTATGTTTGCCCTCTCATCATCTGATTCTGAGTCAGCTTCAGACGAGTCAGAGTCATCCCATGTAGCCATGAGACTTTTCTTCTTCTCTCTTCCAAACTTCTTTTTGGGCTTTTCCCTCTGAAGCTTTGGGCAGTCACTCTTATAGTGTCCTTGCTCATTGCACTCATAGCAGATGATGTCCTTGGTGTTTGGCTTTTTGCTACTGGAGGAGCCTTCAGATCTTCTGTATCCAGAGGAAGAATCTGTCCTTCTGTATCTGGAAGAAGACTCGTTCTGATCAGATCTTCTGGGATTCCTGAACTTCCTTTGTCTTTGCTTCCACAGTTGATTTACTCTTCTGGAGAGGAGAGAGAGTTCATCTTCTTCTGATGAGGATCCATCAGATGTTTCTTCAACTGCCTGCAAAACTTTAGACATAAATTTTTTGTTAGATTTTAATGCTAAAGGCTTACCTTGCTTCTGAGGCTCGTCAGCTTCTAGCTCTATCTCATGACTTCTGAGGGAGCTGATAAGTTCCTCCAGAGTGATTTTGTTGAGATCTTTAGCTAGCTTCAGAGCTGTAACCATAGGTCTCCACTGCTTGGGTAAACTTCTGATGATTTTCTTGACATGGTCAGTAGTAGAGTATCCTTTGTCCAGAACCTTGAGACCAGCTACCAGAATCTGGAATCTTGAGAACATTGTTTCAATGGATTCAGATTCTTCCATTTTGAACGCCTCATACTTCTGAATGAGCACCAGAGCTTTAGTTTCTTTGACCTGAACGTTGCCCTTATGCGTCATTCTGAGTGAGTCAAAAATGTTCTTTGCTGTGTCTCTGTTGGAGATCTTTTCATATTCAGTATAGGAGATGGCGCTGAGGAGGTTCTGGCCTTGTGGTGATTATTGAAGTCACGCTTTTGTTGGTCAGACATTGTTTTTCTATCAATCTTCTGACCGCTTGCATTCACAGGGTGCGTGTATCCATCTGTCACCATATCCCACAGATCAGCATCATGTGCCAGAAAGAAGCTTTCAATTCTATCTTTCCAGTAATCAAAGTTTTCTCCATCAAAGACTGGAGGTTTGCCGCTGAATCTGTCTCTGTCCTCATTGTTGTCATTGCTGATGTGAGAATTGTTTCCTGCCATTGTGTTTTTCTGACACTGGATCTTGTACTGACACGGTTAAGTGTTTTAGCTCAGAACTAGGCGCTCTGATGCCAATTGAAGTAGTGAAAAACACAAGAAGGGGGGTTGAATTGTAAAACTGAAATCTAATGCAATGAACAAGATATTTTTATCCTGGTTCGTTTGATCTCAAACTACTCCAGTCCACCCGTCAAGGTGATTTCGCCTCTCTCCAACGAGGTCTTAATCCACTATATTCAACTGAATATTACAGACTGCTTTAACAACTTCTAAAGCCTTCTTGATGCAAACCACAACCCGACTTGTCAAGGAAACACTTTCTTACAAAGAAATCAAATCTTAGTGTGTGAATGTTTTCTACAAAACTGTATCACAACTGTGATGTATACACAAATTAAAGCTTAGAACTAGATTGCTAAACAATGATAGAATATCAGAATGTGTAGTGTTTAGCAAAACTGAGAGAAAGAAGATTTTGATCAGCTTTTATGCGTGTAAAGATTTGGAGAGCATTAGCCATTTCAATCTTCAAGGTCTTGTTTATATAGCACTGAGATGTTGAACGTTGGATGCAATATTCTTGATTCAATGCTATTAACAAACTTTCCTTATCGAGCAGATCTTGTCTGGAATGAGGCCGTTGGTATTAATTTGCTTTCAATGCACAGTACCGTTGCTTACTTAATGCAAGTTCTGGCTTGGCTCATTCTGACTCTGCTTAGCTGCTGATGAACTGTTGTGTTTCTTTATCAGAGTGTTGAGCGCAGTTCTGTTCATCAGACTTCAACATATACGTGAATTAATCTTCTGATACTGACATTCTGATATGGCAACTTCTGATGCTGATGTCAGGAACCAAATTACTGATGCTGATTAGGTGTGATCCTGCTTATATCAATCAGAGTATCTGCAAGTCAGAACATAATAGTTTTAGGTAGCAGATAATTCATACATGAATCATATACATAATATGTCTTTTCACTTTGTTATCATCAAAACTTAAATATAGGGTAGTAGATTCAAACTTTGTTCTAACAGCGTCCTCCGGCTTCGACGATGGGTTGCCTCTCCAAAGGGGGCCGTTTCCCCGATGGTCGGGGTGACGGGCTTCGAGAGATATCTCTGTAGTGTCTCCGCGGGGGAGACGGGAAATGGACCTCAGTTACTCGAGGAGGTGGAGTCTGGGGCCTCCGGTGCCTCCTCGGTGGTCTTCGATCATCTTCAAGTGCCCTCAATCTTTCCCCTTGGGCGAAGATGAGGTAATTCGTCTGATTGATCGGCGTGAACAACGCTCGGGTTGTGGCATCTGCCCCGGCGGGGACATGGACTTCCTGAAACTGAGCAGCTCAATAGTTTGTGAGAGCTGCATCGTCTTCTTCGAGTGGCGGAGGGACCGAGGAGGATGAAGCGGTAACTCCGTCGCGGTGGATTGAGGGCCCGGGGGCAGTTGACACAGGGATGGTGTTACGACCGGGGTTACCGGCGTTATCAAGGTGTCCATTTTTATCCGCGAGGCCGTTGTTGGTGTCGACGACGCAGACGTTTTGTTCATCACGAACTTGGTCAGCCATGACGGTGATAGTTGAGTTGAGCTTTGGTCTTTGAGATTTTGCAAGACGGGGAAGCTAGATTCTCACAGACGGCGCCACTGATCTTACCTGATCAGACTTGGACCATCACGACTGGCTCCGAGCTGAAGTTTGAACGAGATGGGGGGGTACCTGCAAGGCACTCCGATGCTGAAATGAGTGGTAGTACGAGCAGGAAAAGTGTGTATATATGGATAAGAGAATGAATACCTGACCCTCTTGGAATAGAGGGTATTTATAGCCCCCAGCGCTGGGCCAAGGTCCCTTCATTGGGCCGACCAGGATTGGCCCAATAAAGGAACTGCCAGGTTCTACGTGTGTAGTGGGGACCCGCACGTGGTCTCCTTCCTGGGTGCTCTGCGAGGAGTACAGACGGACGAGGACGCGGTCTTTTCGGAGTTCGGGTGAGGGTGTAACGGTCACAGTCTGCCCTACGAGGGGGTGTTCGAGCTGGACTGTATGGGTCGAGGATGTTGCGTTCGCGGGCGGTGGCGGGCACGGTCGTAGCTTCTGGTCGACGCGCCCCCTGTAGAGCCGTTTGGATTGAATCTATTCTTGCTCTTGGGCCAACCTGGGCCCAATCCAGAACACCAACCAAAACTAAAGTATAGTTTTTGCTAAAGCTGGAAAATGAGTCCCACATCTACATTTTTTTACAGGAGTTTATATACCTATCTCACACATTCATTCCTAAAATTTCAGAATTGAGCTATTTGAAAAGATAATGAACTTCAAGCCCCAAAATGACATGACATTTTAAGAATATAATAATAATATATAAAAAACGAAAACTAATAAAAATAATTTAAGAAAAAATAATAAAAAATAATAAAAACATATATAATATAATCGCTTAATTAATAAATAAAATTATAAAAAGAATCGATAAAATAAAAAATAAAAAAAATATTTACATAGATTTAAAAAATAATTAAAAAATAAATTAAATACTATGTGGACTGCCCTGATGTGTCCGAAGAAATCTGGATAATATTAGGAAGCGTCCTCATCCAAAATTCAAATAAAAAATCCGAATGGCAATTTCGTAAATTCAAAAAAATAACCGATTAAAATAAAAATAAAGTTCTTTTTGTAAAACTTCAAAATTTAAACGGTTCTCCTCAATTTCATTTCACTTCATCGCATTCTGAAACCGTTGTGGAGCTGAGCAATTATCACTACATCCATCGTCGTCATCATCAACCTCTCATGGTTAGGGTTTTTCTGCAAATTAATCTTCATCTCATCGATTCAATCTTTTTCGTTTCACGGTTTCATTCACCGCATCGTGTTCACCAATAATCTGCGTCTTTTTGAAATTAGGGTTTTTCCAAATTTCGGATCTCGTTCCGTTTCATTATCGCTTTATCTCATTTTGTTTCCTTTGTTATTGCAGGATAGCCACGATTCTCAAGACGGGAAAAGCCCCGCTGATATGACAGCATTTGTAAGCTCTTCCGCCATTTTCTTGAATCTCTTGATTTTTCCCTTTCTTATATTTTGCTTGGATCTTAGATTTCTCTGTAGTAGTGACACCTCTGAAAAAAGTGTGTCGGTGTCCGAAATCATACCGACGCTGATTATGTTAAATTTGTTCATTTTTTTCAAATTATTACCAGTGTCGTGTTTGTATGGAAACTGATAATAGTTTAAGAAAGTGTTAGTGATTAAATCTAACTATATGTGTGGAGGTTGTGAGATGCAAGGAACTAATTGAAGTGTCTATTGCTACATAGATCTGAGGGCCATATGCGAATTTTGGTGTACTTGGTTTTATGATGATTTTGTTAATTTAAATCAGTTTCTGACTTGTTTATCCCACTGTTTTGCTTTTCAGGTGCAAAATCTTCTTCAGCAGATGGTGAGTTTTATGGTGTAGATCTTGGAGGAGTTTTCCCAACTTTTAGAATGTAATTTTCTGGTGCTAACTGGAATCTTTTTTTTTTTTATTCAGCAAGGAAGGTTCCAGACCATGTCGGACTCCATTATTACAAAGAATATCCTTTTTGGTATGCTTTTAATTTAATTAAACAAGCTAATCTTAGAGACAGGTTTGCTATGAAAATCCTTTTTTGAGCAGCACTTTTTTCCTACTCATGAAATGATATTTAACTCAAAGGGTAGTTTGGTTAGATGACATAGATCTTAACTGGCTTACATTCTGTTAACTTAATTACTTTTACTTGTCACTTTTTCTTATGATGACTCTTGATATTTTTGTTGAGGATTCAAATGGAACCTTTTTAGTTTTTGGTTATTTGATGCCTAAATTGTAGTCTATATGTTTGGCTTCAGTTTGCATTGTTTTATTGTTTGTTTGTGTTGTCAGTGATACAAATCTATTTCTGTCTGTAATTCTAAGCTAAAGTATGCAGTACCCAATAAAATGTTGTATCAGTAGGCAAACCAATAACATGATGCATGCATTTGATGGTAGAGATTTAATGTAAATATTCGCATGCCTTCATCAGTCACCGAATAGAGTAAGTTGTTGGGATAGTTATTGACATAGCATAACATGTACTACCTCCGTCCCTAATTATAAGACCTTCTTGAGTTTTTTTCTTGTTCCTTTTATAAGACCTTCTTCAACTTCAAAGTGCATTAATTGTTTTTTTCCAAACATACCCCTAATTATATTACATATTTTTCTGCAATCTGTAATATAGTTACATATACTTTAATTATTTCTCTCTTCTAAGGATAAACTTGTAAAATTATACAAAATAGTCAATAAATTTATTACTCTAACAAACTTTCTTAATTCCCGTAATTTACTCAACGGGGTCTTATATTTAGGGACGGAGGTAGTAATAGTTAATTACAGCTATGAACTTCTGTATCTTGTCTATGTTTTTTGAATACCCAATGCAAACGACAATCACCTATGAAGTTGTGCATAATATATTTCCTGATTTAGGGAAATTTCTATTGGCTAATGCATGATATCGAGTGTTACCAATTTTATTATAATATGGGTATTATAGACTTTCTCAATTCTCAAACTTTGTAAGTAATGTTTTTCTTAACACCAAAGCACTTGATGATATGGGAAATCGTATAAATGAGTTGGAGCAGAGCATCAGTGAGCTGAGAGCTGAGATAGGAGTGGAGATCTCTCAAGCACAAGCAGCCTCTGAGAAGGCAAAGGAAGAAGAGTCGAACAAAGAAGAGGGTTCGTCTTAAAGTGACATTTTAGTTTCAATTTCTCATTGTTCTTGTCTTGCGTTGTACGATGATTGGTATGGTGCATCAACTATCTCTGTCTATGTTGTTCAGAAATTAAAGTGTTGTGTGGCTGAATACTGCTGATCATTTGTAGCTAAATCATCTTACAATTTTACGATTTAGCAATATTCCTACAATTTAATGTTACAAATTACTTTGTTTCCCGCCTACCCTCTGTTATTTTCCCAGCATGCTGTAAGTCGATGAATGAATCCATGGCCCCAAATCCTTGGGCTGATGTACTAATACCCATTTATTTGTGCTTTATTCCATTATTTTGATACGGGGTTCAACAAATTCAATTTGTTTAGTTTTTTTCCCTAACTCTCAAAAGAAGAGTTGGATATTTCTTCTATCTTGTCTAACATAGTACAAGGAAAGTGGAATTTGATAACAACTGTGCAAGGGCTGTTGCTGGAATAATGTAAGACTATTTTGCTGATGAACTGCCATTTTGGAGTAATGATTGACACAATGCATATAAGATTTTTTTTTGTTGATAACCTGCAATTTAGCACTCTCCGTTCCTTTATAAGTTTCACTTTTGTGAAAAAAATTTGTTTCAATTTAACTGTCGTTTTCAAATTTTAAAGTAATAATCATTATAGTTTTGTCAAAATTACTTCTAATTATTTATTATTAGAGAAAAATATATATTGAAATGATTAAAAATTAAGGGTATTATAAGCAAAGGAAAAATCATTGTTTAAAAAGTAACAACAATGATTAACTTGAAATGTATAAAAAAGTCAAAATGTGACAATTAAAAAGGAATGTAGGTTTGAGAATTCAAAAAAGTGATTTTAGAGTAGTAGGTATCTTAGCTTCTAATTTAGAACACTTAATATGCAGAGTATTTTGAATTTTGATAAGGGTGTATGGGTGGAGGTAACCATTTGTAAAACAGTGATTGTAGATTCATAGAAATATCACCCCAGATATATGGAGTTCTTTTCAAATATATTAGGCGTAAGGATTTATGGCGTTATAGGCTGTGATCCATAGGGACTGCAAAAAGGAAGAGGTCATGGTAGCATTTAACAAACAAATATCCAAACATGTTCCTTCATTATTTAAGAGTTCCATCTATACTTAGATAAACTAATTTCTTAGAGTTACTTTTACCCTTCGTTGTTTTTAAAAAATAAAATCACACCCTTCTGAATTTACTAATTAAGAAGGAAAAAACAAACTATTTTTTCTTGCGCTCGGAATAGTAACTCTGTAATAACTGTGTTTCCTGAGTAAAAACTGTTTTCTCGTCTGGATGAATAAATTTGGACATAGGCAATTTTTGAGATTGTGAAAAGAAGCTCCATATTTTAGATTATTTCGAAGGCTATCGACTGAAATTGTTCCACCTTCTGCTTAGCCTTGTTTTTCTCTTTGTCAGGGAAACAAATTTGGCCCCTCACGTCTAAAAGGTCGACAATTCCATTTCAGAGGCCTTACATTTTTTGATGGCTACCGCCAGATTTTTTTGAAATTCTTTCAAGTTCTCATTCAATTTCTCCCTCCTATCCTCCAACTCCATCTATAATAATTGCAATGCTTTCTCCTTGTTTTCTCGGGCTTCCTCCCTAGATCGCGCTATATCATACAATAGTTGTTCTTCTTAGCAACCGACGCCCCAAATAATGACAGAAAAACAATTTAAGGTCATCAGGAGAGCCGCATGAGGAATACAATATTGAGACATACCCATCATAGAAATAGCCGCTTCTTTGATAAAATAAAGTAGGTAAAGTGTTTCTACCCAATAAGGAAGATTTTTTTCTATCGGTTTACTAATAGAAGTCGTTGTTTGGTATTAAGATACCTAGTGATGATGAGGGACAAGAATTGCCGAAGACAACAAACTCAAATGTTGATGATCTCTTTCGTTGGAGAATTCACTCGAATGAATTGTTAAAAGTTTTTCGAACTGATAACAATTATGAGGGTATTACAACTGGTCAACTGAAACAGCTCTCTTGCATCTTGTATTGGGTTGTATCTTATATCTTAAGTTTAAAGAATGGTGGATATTTAAGGGTTGACCAAACGGAGGTCCATATTATTTATCTCTTTATAAAATCAAGATCAATTGGGCAAATTACTTCGTCACTCATAAATTTGCCATAAAGAATGGCAACCAAGGCTCTTCCTTCTGTTATACTTCCATGATTGTCAAGATCCTCAACTTCTTTAATATTGAAGTTCTGAATCTTCTTTTCATCTCTCCGGGACCAACTCAACAATTCAATCAAAGTACCTTGACTCACATGGAGTACTTTTGGGATAAGGACTTAAATTCGTATTTCTTTTGTGTGGCGGGTACTCACAAAAAGATCTGCAACTTTGATGATCTTACTGAATTTGAGACCAACACAGATGCTCCCATGATTGATGAGCAACCTATTGATGACATTAATCAGAAGGACGTGAATATGGTTGATGTTGATTATGAGCAAGAGAAAGCTTGGATGAATGATGTTGTTGATTAGTAATGGAGACAATGACCACAAGACAACTGGCCACAATAAGGTGATAGATATATAAGGAGTATGATGGTGGTTACCAAGGGCGTGAATCTGGTTCTCAAAGAAATGAGTTTGAAACTGTATCAGGCAATGAGTCAGCCTTAATGGCCATGCTTTATAATATGCAGCTCAAGCAGGATGAGTGATACGAGGAAGAAGTACTTTGGAGGATAAATTCTGAGGTTGTTCAAGAGGAAATGTTTAGACTTGTTCAGGAACACTTGGCTTCACAAGATTCAAAATTTGATGATTTTGCCTCCCATGGTACTATGCAGTTTTCTACTATCCGCAATGACATAAGTATCAACAATGTTGCTTGTAATACGGTCGGAGAAATGACTTTTGGTTTTGCATTTTATCGCAAATGTTGTATATAGCAAGAGTCGCCATCGACTTTTCTTTTATCCAATAAAGAAAGAGTGAAAAGAACAGGAAAGACCTTTGAGATTTTCTTGAGTTTGAGGGGTAGATTATGAAAATGGAAGGTGTTAGCACCGTTTTCATCAGTAGTTATCTACAGGCTCTTAATCGCTAGCTCACTTTGGAAATGCTTTGTGTTATGTATTTGAAAAATATTTTGAAAATGCCAATAGTAAGGAAACTTTGTAATGATTCTTGAGAATACGTACAAAGTGTTTGTTTGAAAATATTATTGAAAGTGTTTGTGTAAAAAAGATGTTTTATTTTGTTTGTGAGCAAGCGGTTACGAGTTATCTACCTACTCAAAGTCTTTATTGTACTTTTCCTTCTCCTTTAGATAGTGTTATCCGTACAATAAGTTAGTAGGAAGCCTTATTGTTGGATGTGAAGGGACAGGCGCGGGTCATCGTACATTCATTGAAGGAAACTCGTAGGGTAGCTTTAGTAATTTTGTAAGCGACTAGATCATTTATCGAAGGCAGCATCGAAAAGATCATCGAGGGACTACGATCTTTTATTTCATGGGTCTTTACTAAAGCGTCCCCACGTTCGAGGGACATGACTGTGTTTTGTTCCAAAGGCAACAAGGGAGGTTATCCTAGAGGTGTACGTGTGCAAAGTGTGTTATGTTAAGTTATTTTAATCTTTGAAATTAGGGTTAACTAACAATTGTTATTAGTCTTTTCATGCAAACCCTAATTACTAAGTAATAGTAACAAATATAGTAAAGCGATAAATGTACGAAAAATAAAATTCTACGTTATTACAAGAATTTAGCAATGGTGGGTACAAGTAATAAAATGCGGGGAAAAGTAAAACTCTAATTATCTATTACAAACCACGAGCAATTACATAATTGTAAACAACGCAAAAAGAGTAAACTACGCGAAGATGTAAAATAAAGAAAAGAAGAAGGAATTTATTTTGGTGATTTTTTGATAAAATATTTGATGATTAACCTAAAACCTAAATTGATTTTAATTAATTAAAACCTAAAACCCCTAATTAAATTTTATTTGAAAAAAATAAGAAAGTTTATTAATTAAACAAAAACTAAACCCTAATGTTGATTAGGGTTTGTGAAAAAAGTAATTGATAAAAATGGTTTTAGTTTGATGAATTTAGGGTTTATGAGTGAAAATAGTAAGAAAATAAGGGCTTTAAAAAGTTATCAGGGCTGGGTGTTGAATCCACGCCCTCTACTCTTTCAATCAACACCTTCACCACCAAGCCAGACGCACCTTGGTGACAAAGAAGGGAAACGAGCGCCTTTTGTAATCTGCAAAACAAATTAATCACAAAAAATGTCAAAATGCCAAAAGGCTGGGATCAAACCCATGCCTTGGCATAGTAAGGTCTTTAACGCGCGCGCTTCAACCGCTGGGGCGATAATACACCCTTTCATTATAATGAAACAATACATATATAATATGGAAACCGTTCATGAAACGAAGAGACGCCAGAGCCCTAGCTCGTTCGTCTTCTTCGGTAGCTATTTTTACCAACCTGCAAAAATCAAAGATGTTAGCAAACCAAAAGCACCCTGCCCCCCAAATCGAGGGCTGCGAGTTCAATGGGATGGTTGTTTTGGACTGAAACCTAATGGTTTGAGAGATATAATGAAAATGATGTGGACCTGACCAAACATAGCAAAACATACTTTCGATTGTATGGGACCCTTATGATGATTCAATCCTGTACAAACACATCTCAGAAACGTATTAATGGCATTAGTATGACTTAAAACAAAACGAAAATCAAAGTATGAATTTTGTAAAAAATCCTAAAATCAAAGATGAATGCATGTGAGTTTCGTGAGCTTTGGACCATCAAACTTGGTCCATTCTTACTCTGTATGATTGCTGGGAGTGAAAGGAGTGACTAGTTTGTCTTGGAAACAACTGTGATAAGGATTTGAAGGTTTCCCTAAACTTGAACAATTTTGAGTTTTTGGAGGTGATTCTTGGACAAGGGTTTTGTGCCTGATTGTCTATGAATGATGGAGATTATATAACA